TTTTGGTTTCCTATATAATTGATTATTTTCAATAATATAGTGTGTTGCTTGTTTTTTAAATTGTTGTTGTTCCTTTAGATTCAAATTTAGGGGTAATACCGAAGTTGTTAAATAGTTAATAAAGTGGTAATAGAGTGTGGGTTCCATTTTGGTAAAAGTTTTTAAGTATTTTCCTTAGGGTAGATTCCTAGGGAGACGAGAAAGTATATCTACATTAGAATGAACTCTACCTTTTTGGTGTATAACTATGTAAGGGTAATCAGCAATTTGTTGTATCCATCGAGTTACTCTTTTGTTAGGATTAGGTTGGTTTAATAACCAACATAAAGCAGAATGATCCGTGATAAGTTCAAAAGATCTAAGATAAATATAAGATTAAAAATACTCTATTCTCCATACTGCAGCAAGACATTCAATTTCAGTTGGAGAGTAATTGATTTCAGCAGAATTTAGAGACCTACTGGTATATGTGATTATATGCTCATGATTATCATCATCCTTTTAAGCAAGAATAGTACCTAAACCCTGATAAGAAGCATCAATATATAATATAAAAGGTTTGGTAAAGTCAGGGTATTGAAGAATAGGTGCAGTTGTTAATTTTTTCTTAAGAATATCTATTGCTTGTTAACAGGTTTCAGTCCAAACAAAAGGAGTATCCTTTTTTAACAACTTATTTAAAGGTTTAACAATTCGTGAAAAGTTTAGAATAAACTTTTGATAATATGAAGCAAGACCAATAAATCTATGAAGTTCAGTAAGATTATGGGGTGCAGGATAGTTTTGAACTTTATTAATTTTTGATAGATCTGGAGAAACTCCATTTCCATTAATAATATACCCCAAAAAGGCTAATTGCTGTTTTCCAAAACAACACTTATCTCTTTCTAATTTTAGTCCAGCATTTTGAAGACGTTTAAAAACCTCTTTTAAGTGTTTCAAGTGTTCTTCAACAGTTTTTGAATAAATAGTAATATTATCAAGATATACTAAAATAAATTTATTTTTAAGATCAGAGAAGATTTTATCCATAACTCGTTGAAAAGTAGCAGGTGCATTAGTTAGACCAAAAGGCATAACATTAAATTCAAACAACCCATATTTAGTAATAAAAGCTGTTTTTTCATGATCCTCAGGTTTTACTTCAACTTGCCAATATTCACTAGCTAAGTCAAGAGTAGAGAACCATTTTGCACCTTTAAGAGTATCCAGAATTTCATCAATTCGTAGTAGAGAATAAATATCTCGTTTGGTAATTTTGTTAAGCTTTCTGTAATCAATACAGAGCCTAAGTTTACCATTTTTCTTTTTTACCAAAACAACAGAAGAGGCCCATGAACTTTTCGATGAAAATATAAGCTTATTTTCAAGCATCAAAGAGAGTTTCTGTTGAATAAATTTATGTTCAGCTAGAGACATACGGTAAGCCCTTTAATAAATAGGTAGGACATTTTCAGTTATAATTTGATGTTGGTCAATAGTTGTTTTGTCTAGATTATTCATTCCTTTGGAAAACATATGGTCATTTTCGATTAAAAATTGCTGTAATTGTGAGTTATTTATAGAAGGAAGATTTGTTTCCTCAAGATCCTCCTTAGTAGCAAAACAACTTATTGCTTCCTTCACTTGTATATATTTTGAACATGTTTTTTGTAGCTGATTACAATAACATTTTACAACTCGAGGATCACTAGTTTATTCAGAATAAAAATTATAATTGTTAAAAGATTTATTTTGATATTTAACTTGGGTATTATTAATTTCAAGTATAGGTTTTTCATTAGAATTTCCTATAACTAAGAATCCTTTAGATTCCTCTTGTTCATCATCAGATGATTTATATTTATCCTCACTAATTTCACTAGAATTAGTTTTAGCAGATGAAGTTTGATTATTTGAGTCATTAGACTCAGAAGAGTTTTTTAAAGAGATAGACTCACCATTGTTATATTGTGGCTTTTCCCAATATATAATAGATAAAATATAAGATTTGTTGTCCCAAGTAAATCTAAATTGTCCTCTTTTTAAATCAATAATACTTTGCATTTTGTTAAGCCAATTGATTCCAGCAATTATAGCATAAACTTGAGCATCATTTACTTCCACATCAATAGGAATAATAGTATCAGATAATTGAAAAGAAATATTATTAATAATTCCTAGTGATCGTTTTTTTCTACCATTAATATTAGAAAAATAAAGATTGGATGGTTTTTCAATAAATTTGTTTAACGGAGAAACTTCTAGAAACAAATGGAACTTAATAAAGAAATACCGGTTACTGGCGGGCTTCTTGAATTCATATGTGGGACAGCAGGTAAAGTACTTAAATATCTAAACAATAGTGAGTTGTTAGATATTCTACGTACAGCAAATCC